GTTGAAGCGAAACAGCTGATTTCCAATTTGCAATCAAAGTGGAACGGATCCCAACTTTATAATAAAGTGCTTTGGACGCATGAGTGTTGTTTTAGCCGTACTGGCAATTTAAATAGGTAGGTACCATACTACTCTTTAAAAAGCAACAAGTCACGAGGTATACGTATTACAAACTGAATAGTTAAGTGAACATAATAATAAAACGTCATATTCAGTTATAAGACATAATAAAAACATTAACAACATTAAGAATACTAAATTGTAATAACCTAACATTCCAAAACAATTATTATCCTTATACATTTGTTTTTATTAACAAACAAATAGTACTTGTTAATATTGTTATATGTCTATGTCTGTATTAAAAACGCAGTAAAAACTAGGTTAGTGACCAAATAATAGGGTAGGTCAATATTCACTCTCGATAAACCTTTGTAGGTCAGCGGACAGGAGTAGTCCGAAAAGGGATCATCGTAACAATAATCTATTATATTATGCACATTACCATCCCATTATTAAACAAGACTGTTAATTTTAATATACAGGACTTTACAAAAAATACGTCAAGTAGTTAACCATAGGCTTCGAAAATATCATAATATTTATATAAATATCGGCATAACGGATAATCCAATACTTACATATTTATCGGATATATATATCAAACTTTAATATTTATTTTGTAACGCTTGTCTACTTTTTCCTAATGTAAAAAACTTATAAATAATAAGAATATAGTAGTACTGTATTTTTTTTATTTAGAAAAGAATACAATATTCTAATAAAAACGATCATAAAATAATAAAAAATGAGCTAAGATCGATAATAATATAGTTTCATTAAACAAATAAAATTTGAAAATGGTAATCAACTTAAAATGATTTCACTTCACATAACTAATTAGTAGTTAGGCATCGAATAATGATGAACGACATAGTCGTGCACTTATTTTTTATGGGAAAAACTATATTTTTTATAATGGAAGAATGTAAGTATTTGAATAAATGTTAACGTTTTCCATTTCTTAACAATAAATAATATTCAAATAAACATCCATTGTATGTGTTAAATTGACAACAATAAACTGGTGACAGATTAGGTGCTCGTTATAAGTTCCACTAAAAATTTCACAGCCATCGCTAGAAATTATGCGATATCCGTTGACTGCACAAAAACCAGTAAATACCTTAAAAACCAGAAGAGATAGGTATAGAGAACCATTATACCATTCGAAAAGGAACAAAATTGTTCATCAGTTTGCGGAAAAATATACAGGGTGTTCCATATCAAAAAAGAATAAGTTAAAATGGTTAAAGTTGATTAAATTTGGCATTAAATTCCTACCACCCTGTATGAAATTAAGTCATTTTGAAATTATGGCAAGGAAGCTTAGAGTTTTAATTATGTCCCCTATAAATTTTATAACTTTAACTTTATTATTGTAAAATGCACATTTTTTTGAAAAAAATTAAATATATCAAAAAGGGTTAACTTTAAGAATAGGAAACCTTTATGAAAGTTCACATGAAAATTGACGTAGAATCCAAAACTGAAATAATATACAGCGTGTTCCATTTAAAATAACGAAGATGACGTCAACTTCCGGTGGACGCCATTATTTTAGTCGAGAAGGGCGTAACAGAAAACCCTATTGCCCAAATTTTCAAAATTAAAATCGAAGTAGTCTCTGAAATATGTCTAATGTCTCGTCACCGTGGCACACTGTATATCAGAATTTAAATATCATGATATATATCGTGATATACATCGTGATATAGAATTTAGGAATTTCATCGTGATATATATCGTTGATATAGGTACATCCTTCGAACCCTGGTTAACCACATATTATTTTCATAAAAACAATAGGACCTTATGCCATTTTCCATTTAGGCCTTCTTTTCAAGACATCAGACAATTTAAAAAAGACTTTGATTAATAATTTTGTGTAAGCATGGGGTCGTAGTACTCCAATTCAGCCCTAACTTCTTCCTGGCATGGTTTAAGGTTATTAATTTTTAATTTTTTTATTTTGTCTTTTCTACTTTTGCGCAATATTTTGATTTAGGGCTTGGTTTATGAGATTTTGTAGCTTTTTCACATATGTGTTTTAAAGTGTTGTTCAAAAATAACAATTTCTCTGCCGTACTTGAAAATAGCCAGGTGTCATAAACCTCATACCACAAAGCTATCGTTGTTCACCGTTGCTCACTAAGCTATAAATAGTGCAGTTATTAATTGTTTAAAATATTTTTTACCGTAGAAAATACTCTGGATTTCCTTTGAAAATAGGACCGTCCATAAACGGAATTTTACTAGATCAATAAANCATTTTGAAATTATAGCAAGGAAGCTTAGAGTTTTAATTATGTCCCCTATAAATTTTATAACTTTAACTTTATTATTGTAAAATACACATCTTTTTGAAAAAAATTAAATATATCAAAAAGGGTTAACTTTAAGAATAGGAAACCTTTATGAAAGTTCACAAAAAAATTGACGTAGAATCCAAAACTGAAATAATATACAGGGTGTTCCATTTAAAATAACGAAGTTGACGTCAACTTCCGGTGGACGCCATTATTTTAGTCGAGAAGGGCATGACAGAAAACCCTATTGCCCAAATTTTCAAAATTAAAATCGAAGTAGTCTCTGAAATATGTTTAATGTCTCGTCACCGTGGCACACTCTGTATATCAGAATTTAAATATCATGATATCGAATTTAGAAATTTCATCGTGATATATATCGTTGATATACATCCTTCGACACATATTATTTTCAGAAAAATAATAGGACCTTATGCCATTTTCCATTTAGGCCTTCTTTTCAAGACATCAGACAATTTAAAAAAGATTTTGATTAATAATTTTGTGGAAGTATGGGGTCGTAGTACACTAATTCACCCCTAACTTCTTCCTGTCATGGTTTAAGGTTATTAATTTTTTATTTTTTTATTTTGTCTCTTCTACTTTTGCAATATTTTGATTTAGGGCTTGGTTTATGAGATTTTGTAGCTTTTTTAAGATATGTGTTTTAAAGTGTTGTTTAAAAATAACAATTTCTCTGCCATACTTGAAAATAGCCAGGTGTTATAAACCTCATACCACAAAGCTATGATTGTACACCGTTGTTCACTAAACTATAAATAGTGCAGCTACTAAAGGTTTAAAATATATTTTTTTACCATAGAAAATACTCTGGATTTCCTTTGAAAATAGGACAGTCCATAAACGGAATTTTACTAGATCAATAAAACAGGTGCAGAACTTTAATTTAATTAATTGATCAATCAACATCATAATGTTAAAGCAAAGAACAACTGCTCCTTTCTTGCTTTCACTGATGCAAATTGTTCTACAATGTAACTAAAATATGAGTTTCTTTTTTTTTACGTTCATAATAGCAAATTAAGATAGCTTTGAATTTACTGAATGGAATAGTTATTTACGTATAACAAAAAAAAGGTTAATATTAAATTTTCTAATTCATGCAAATTAAGCAAAACTTCCTTGCGAGATTAAGATCCAACTTTTGGTATCAATTAATTACTATTTTATGCTACAAATAATAACTCACGTTACTTAGATCCATCCTGGATCTAGATTTCTAAGCGGATTAGCTTAAAAATGCAAATCGTTTCACAAACGCAATCACGTATAATTCTAGGAGGAATTCATATTATTTTAATGCAATGAATTAACAGAATTCCTCATTGCACAGAAAAAATATCTACTTACATAAAAACTCAACGATGATTTTAAACGTAACTAATTATAAAAATAATTGATAATAATTAGAGCAATAAGTTACATAAAAGCGTAATGAAATAAAATATACTGTTTCAACCGCAATTTTAAATCATATAATGTATTACATAATGGAATAATTAATACATAGGCATTTTTTATTTCTTCAAAGCAATGCGTATGTAGAATAAACGTTACTATAAGAATAATTCTGATAAATAGGATACAGCATTTAGAAATTAATTCATCATAAACTTATGATGAATTAATTTCGAGACATTCGAGATTCTAAAGAAAAGACCAAGAAAAATAAATGGAGGTAAACTATTATAACACAAATTGCACGTATTTTATTTAAAATTAGCTTTTTATAACTGCAAGAATGTTTGTCCCCTTGAAAGGCCGTCATGTGGGAATAAATAAATGAAATGTTAGAGATCTACTTAACCCTCTCATTCTCAACAATATCCAGAGTGTTAAAAATTTGACTACCCTAATTTTAACAGACCATAGAATACATTAAAATAAACAAAAAAAATCTTATATGACATGGGTTCTAAACTCAACCATTTCGAAGAAAAAGTTATCAAAATCTCCAATTGATGTACAAAGTTCGATTAATATTGACATAATTGCGTGCATAGAATACCATAAAATACAATGTTTATCACTTTTTTAACTTCTTTATGCTTAATTCTAAAAAATAATTAGCATTTTGTAATAAATTTAAAATTCGATAAAATTCACAATTCGAGCAATGTGACAACGGCGCGGCGGATAACACGAGCAATACGCAATTCAGTTGGTATCTGGAATTGGACCGTATTTGAGTGTTTTCTGCGTACCACTATTTCCATTCCTTGAGGTGTTTTCCAGCGGGTGCGCGAAAATTGGATTCGAATGTGTCGTGCGTACCTCGAAAATGGTGGTGGACATTTTGAGGATATGTTGTAGTTTTGTTTCGTACTTGTGCGTTTAAAAATTACTGAATTTTGCTATTTGGTAAGTGCCTAAATAATTTTTAATACGTATGATTATTTGTAATGAAAGATACGTAAAAAATGATAGACAACAAAAATGTAGCTTTTTTAACAAATAATTCGCTTTTTTTAATTTCTATAGCATAAAAAATAAAGGGCGTATTGCACCCACGTATTGGAACAAAACTTTTCGCAGATCCGGTACACGAGGAACGGAGATCTAGATGAGAGCGTGGTATCGGAGCGCGGAACTAGAGAGAGCACAGAAAAGCCCCTCCTAAGCCGAGAGACTAAGAGCACGCCGCCGAAGGAAACGGCCCGAAATGCAATTCGAGTCAGTGTGATCACGCCGGTGTTACGAACAGCAGGGCCCACGAAGTTTTTGGTGCAAAAACCTGAAAAATAATCACACGCCGCTCGATGGTACTACGAACCGAACCATGAATGGGACCAGTCGATACCGGAAGTAAATAAAAACAAGCCCGTCCTGTCGCAAACGGACAGTTCCTGCCTCCGGACTCGCGGTAGTGTGGTGGAAAGTGCAGTGGAGAATTCAGACTTTTTTTGTTGATAGGGATTATAGTTAAATAACAAAGTAAGAGAATTAATTAAAAATTGATATTGGTTTTATTACACTTTTACATTAAGTACTTCCGACACATTTAGTTGGTTTAAAGGAAATAATTTGTTTTATACGCACTGATACTTTCAGTAAATAAGTAAATTTTAAGTTGAAAATAAATAGACAGAATGCAACAAAAACTAATCAAATAATCAAAAGGATAAGTCAATGATTAACATAAATTTTTAATTTTTTGTCGCAAGTGGCCAAATAAGAGAAAAAATTAAGATTATGCCACAAACAAACAACTTCAGACCATAAAAAATGACAATTTTTTGAATGAACCTCAAAATAGTTTTCAGCAATTCTGTTTTCAATTCTAAACTGTATCGTGTTTGTATGCAAATATCAGGAATAAAAATATAATATTAATAAATATATAAAAAATGGAAATTGCTTAAAATATACAAAAATGAAAAATTGAAAAGGAATGAGGACTTTTTTAATTTTTTTTACTTTTTTAAATTTTGTAATAATTAGAAGTTACTGAAGGAACTGATTTTTCGAGTAATTTTTCTTATATGACAATGATAATATTTACCACAGTTTTGAAACAGTTTTCTGTTACCACCGATTACATTTTAGTTATCAGCGAATCGGATTAAAGTTTCGTAAAATTTTATAAACGTCTATCTATAAAAGCTTTCAAGAATAACTGCACACTTTGGAAATCTTTATAAAAATCACAAAAATATCTAAAACAAAATGCTTGACAGGATTTTAGGAAACTAAATAAGAATTATAATCAAATAATCGTACTTTAAATTTAGAGACTTTTTATTTTTAACATAAAATTAGAAATTTTCAGTTGATTTTTGCCTTACCAGAGTACTAGTCAGGAGTAGAGACTGACTATTTTTCGAATTTAAAAATATTCCGTTAAAACATGGAAATGGGACACGCATAAACTGACAAAATTGCAAAATTCCGCATTTTATCTCCCGTATAACTAACTAGATATCACGCCTGCCACTAAATTATAAAACGTAATTAGTGTCGCGGTTTTTTCACAACCGTCTAATCCTCACCCGATGGCGCAACCGTTATCATATAATTACACCGCGGACAAAAATAATAACTATGCCGGGGGACATCAAAACGCCGAAAAAATGCGCATGTTCCGATCGATCTGCTATTCGATAACCAATTCAAAAACGATTCGAATCGAGATTAAAAAGCAAATTGGATACGGGCCATGATACTACTTTCTAAGCACAATGCTCGTTGATATTTAATGATCGTTAATGTCGTTTTATAAAGGTGCAGAACAACGTGATTCCACTTTTGTCTCTTAAGGCGGATCTTCACTTGCCGCAAAGTTTTCTGTGACAAGCAGCACTATTTATATAATCGCATAAGTATTAAACTTTCCGCAAATATTCGTAAAAAGTTGGTTTCACGAACTTACCAGCTATTTTTTGACGCTATCTTTGACATTGAAAAGAAATAAAGTCGTAAATAATTTAATTTAATAAGTAATGTCCACATTTATTAGTTACTACAGTTACACAAACGAATACCTATGTTGTAAGCAGGGTATATACTAAAATTTGACCAAATTTCTTGATATTAGGTTTTCCAGATAGATTTAATAAAATTTCAATCACCGTTTCTTATAATAATTTTTACTTGTCTGAATACCAAATTGGGGCATTTTTTACATATCATTTTATAGTTTACACTTTGTAAATAAAGACTGATTAGCTAGTTGAAAAAATTCTATGAGAAATTGATAAATTGCCTGATATTTCCAGGTTTTCCAGATTGGTATATAACCTATATAAAGTATTCCTTCGATTAGAATTTATTTTTTCAGTTACTCGTGTTAAAAATTATTTGCTCCATATTATTTCACACGAGAACTAGCGTCATCAGGTTCAGAAAACTAGTCGCAGAAGACATTGCGATATATCGCACGTGGGAACGCGCCTTTATACCCCGCGGCGTTTTGCTCGTCTGGGTGTACACCTCTGGGTTATTTGCATTTCTCGTTAACATTCCCACATTTGGCAATAGGTTATTTCGTATATAAATTAGCATTGACGCTCTTTAGACGGGCAATTATTTAGCGTTAACATTTTTCGAACGACGCGGCGACTATTTGAGAACGGCACGAAGCAACGTAATAATGGGATATCGTAAAATCCCGCAATTGCTCGTAAACACTCACGATTCACAATAGTTGGATTTTATAGAAAAATAATGAAGCAGAAGGCATTGAACAAGATAAAAACGCGAGGAATTTATGCTGCGACTTTTCACCGGCTACGAGCAAAGGTAGTGACATTTCAAATACGAGTCGAAGGCTCCCGGTTCTCATGTTTCCAACTTTTATACGTTAAAATCGGTGAAAATAAACGTTTGTCGTATTTTCTGTAATACCAAATATAATAAAACGGCTTTTATACTCATCAATTCCAACACAAGGACTGAATTCAAAATTTAGTCATGACAAATGGAAAATACTGCGACTGTCTATAGATTTATCGTCAGTTAAAAAATATTGAAAGTCCCCCCTATTATAGATAGAATATGGACGTATCCACAAATTTCCCGATAATCCCAAAATCATCGTCAGAATTTCAAATATTTAGTAACTATTACATACGAAAACAGTAAAATTTCTAAAAATATTAAAACAATTTTATCATCTTAAAAAAATTGTGTTCAAAATATGCACATACTTTTCACGGTGATGTCTTCTACATTTGGAATATGTAACTTATAGATTTAGATGGAAATTACATCAAACTAAAAGGTAAATATATATTTAAGACAAATTAACAACAACAAGAAACTGTCAAAAAATCTACAATGGCCTCCCATGATGATATGCAGAGCTTAAGGATATAATATCGTTTTCATTTCATTTTCATCTTTCCTTCAACTTAAGCAACATTAAAAATATATTCACACTGAATTGAAAAATGGTTTTTCTGAAAGCACGAACTTTGGAATTTCAATAATTTCATTGTAGAAGTGGAAAACACAAGCGAGTATACTATGAGTTATGAAAAATCTGTTTTTGCTTTTAGTTCAATTAACACTATTAGATATAATTCCAAGTACAATACGCAGTTTCAAGGTGTATTTACTTATCAGAAAGACGCCGAAGTTATGCACAAATGTTTTTCCATTGTTGGTGTAATGTCAATAAAACTTTTGTTTGGAAATAAAAACACGTCATTGGATCTCGTAACCCAAAAAATACACAAACTTAAATGGCGATTTAATAGAAGTATTTCAAAAACTCCTTTTTTTCTGAAAAAAAATACGGAATAATTCTAATAAAATAGAGTCAGCAGTGTGGAATTAATTAATTAAAAAGTTCCTCAATAATAAATCCTCAATAAAGTCAATTATTAAAAAATTATTACTGACAATTTTTAAATACATAATTCCAACAAAAAAGTGGGTATCTTAAATTAACACAGTTAATGAAACTACAAATTTGACTTTTATCGAACGTTTCTAACCGATATAGAAAAACTAGTTCCAACTAACTGGGAAGTGACATATTAATTAAGTAAATTTATTCAAAACTTACTATACTATCATCAGCAAAGGTTATTTTTATTGCACGCATAACCTTGACGGTCTTTTTGAAACAAAAATCCATTTATAATCATTAATTTCCAAAACAAAAACGGTACCTACCTACCAGAAATAAAAAAGTTACAACAGTATACCTAACTGTTGTTTCGTCAACACACGTTTTAGAGACCAATTTACGTTCATTATAAAAATGTTAACTATTTTGCTGAAAAAGTATGACTATATTAAGAATGTACGTTATTTCTCAAGTCTCAGTATATCTATGTTACATTTAACATTGACATTTAAAAGTCGAAGTAGGTACAATTGCAGCCGTAAACTGTCGCTGATTGTGGTTAAGGTCAAATGAACTATCTGCAACGACAATGATGACGATAACGATGACACAATTAAATATTTTTAATTCACGTTAAATAATCACTTTGCGTAACTTGAGGTTAAAAAAATAATATAAAAAATGTGTCTACTTGTCTGTCTAATGAGCTGTCTATTTCTTCAAATTTTACGTAAATACAAAATACACAAGTTTTTTTTAAATTAAAACATAATCACTACCGCGACATTAATAGTGACTTGTTATAAATGAAACTCGATATATTGCATACAAACATGGTTTTTCAGTAGAACAATTCGTATAACTGTTTACTTGTTTTAATAGCAATTAAAAAAAGTGTATCGAAATAATATGAATATAATCATTGACAGGACAAATTGCAGAATGAATGTCACTGACCCGTAAAATACCTATTAGTGTTTATTACCTTGATAATGGCATACTGTTTCTATCAGTAGAATAAAATGTATATGCAGATGAATCTGAGATTCTAACTCTGATTGATAGGTAAAGGAAGATCCTATAATAAATATACAAAATACATAGACTCCAGAACACACTATAATAGAAATTTAAATTTTTGTTAACACGCGATAAGAAAAACTTGTTCAACAGTATTACAGTTATAAACGGGGTCTATGAAATACATACAAATCTGGTACCGGTTATTTAGGTAGATAGGAAGGTTTGAAATGTATGTTATAGTTCATTGCACTGTTTGAATCTTTACAAATAGTCAATAGTTTTAAATGCATATATACTTCAAATGTAACAAGACTGAAATAAAAAGTTTTTACTAAAACTTCTATTCAACTTATATTTATATTCACAATTGAGGTTGTTTCTAATACTTATTCACTTACAAAAATTGCAACAGCAGATAGTTAAATGGATAAAACGTACCGAACATAAATAATTAATATATTTCAAATATCCTTTCACAGAACATACAGACGAAGAGTCATATGCAATGTTTGTTTACTTTAGTGTGCGAATACCTTTTTGGGTAATTAAAATATAGAACGGTACTTAGGTTTAATATGAACATCACTGCTTAGTAACTCTCAAAATGATTTAATGAAAA